CAATGGCCAGCCCCACATGGACAGGCTGAAAAGTTTCTGATCAGAGTTTGGCTAAGCAGGCCAGAGCTGGAAAGGTCAACCGGTAACCACAATGACAGAAAGTTGGCGGGGGTAGGCGGGAAGGTGATTGCCCCCCACACCGTCCAGCGACCCCTCCCCATTTCAGACAACCTAAAGAAACCTACGGTTCAAAAATTAACAGGTATTCGTTCTGCAGTTTCAGCACCAACCCTTTACTCCCCAGCAACCGCACCCAACCTCCGCCGCCAGAACAGAAAAGAAAAGAAATCCGAAATGCCATGCCTTCCCCTTCCTATTCAGAAATTCCGGAGCTGCGCCGACTGCCTCCCCAGCTCGCAGGGAAAGCCCGGGAGGGAGGCCTGCAGGAGAGGCCCCGCGCTCGCCACCTCTTTCCCTCGCTGGGCTGGGCCAGCGCAGGGGTCGGCGGAGTCCCCGGCGGAGTCGGGCGGGGGGATGGAGGGCTCGCCCGCCCCTCGGGGCGCACAGCCGCAGCCCCGCGGCGACCCCCAAGCGCATCGCGCGGGCCGAGCCGGCCGCCTCGGGGCGCCCCTGCTCACCTCGTCCTCTGCGGCACCCACCGGCACCGCCGCCTCCCAGCTTCCGGGTCCGCGCCGGGTAGGCTCTGAATTCCCGGCAGAGCTCCCAGCAGAAATTGGGATGGGGGGCCCGAAGGAGGAGGGCTTTGCTTCTGAGGTCGTCTTGCCGCCTCGTCTCGAAACCAATCAGCGGCCGCCCTGAGGGAACACCCTTCCCCTCCGCCAATCAGCGGCGCTGCCAGGTGCGCGGTCAGGCCCTGCCCCCGCTCCTCCCCGAAAATTCTCTGCCTCGTAGAGGTGTGGCCTGCCGCCTCCCAGGACCGTCACTGACCGGCTTTGTAACTGTCCATCGCAGAGGGCCGGTGGAGACGGAGAGGGATGAAAATAGACGGGCATTATAAGCTAAAAAGATGTGTGTATCTCCTGGGGAAAAAGTTGAGACTTCATGTAAATCACGTTTGTTTAGCGAAATGCAGTTTTCAAGGCACTTCCACAGTTTCGTAACAAGACTATGGAACCGGATGGCAGTTCTTAGAGCAGTTTCAGAGTCCAGCAAACTGACGTTGAGAAGTTAAGTGCAGGGTATCCACATCCAATGAATATTAAGAACAAAGCTGTTCTTTAAAAGTCCTAAATGGCCCCCAGAGGGGCAGAGGAAATGCATTTCATAAAGACTAGCCTAAGCGTTAGAGACTGGAGGAACCACCGGAATCCCACCTGTGGTCCACCCAAGGAGGCAATGGGAATCGTCGCTCGTGGTTTCGTAACTGTCACCAACACGTACGTTTTTCTCGTACTTGCACAGAGATGTATGTAGCTATCAAACTCTCAAATCAACGATCTAGAACCTCTAACATTCTTATAAACTCTGCTCACAACCCCAATTACAGAAAATAATCTCTATAGGTTGGGATTTTCCTCTGTGTATTTAGCTTCACATATCCAAAACCATATTCTTAATCATTTCTCTAAAGCCCTCCCCTCTGGCTTTGCTTTCCAGCTCTGTTCTTGATATCACCAACTTTCTAACCTTCACTTAGGCCTCAAACACCAGATTTGCTCCAGTTCTTCCTCCAACCTGTCAATCTTACCCACTGTATCGACTCTGTCCCTTAAAATCCCTCTATTACCTCATTCAAACCCTTTTTATACATGACCTGGATCACATTCCCCTAAGCACACAACTTTGATCATTTCATTAGCCTGAGCAAAAAGCCTCTGGGGCTACATAGTATCCCCAGAACATTGCCAGAAGTCCTTTACACAATGTGTGAGTTACTTCCATATATGGACAAAATCAGCCATCTCAGCTGTATTTCTGCAGCAGGACCAGCCTGAAGCCAACACTGAAACACAATGCATGCTTCTCTATCTCCTTGAGAATAAAGAGCCTGGATCTGAGTCCTTACTTTTCCCCCTCAAGCTATCAATGATGGGAAAGTTACTTAGTTTTGTAAAAAAGCCTCTGTCCTCTTATCTAGTAATAGGATAATAACTGGAGCTACTTCATGGGTCATTATGAGGTTAAAACGAGATGATGTCCAAATCTAAACTAGCTAAAGAAACTGGCAATCATTATTTCTTTTTCCCCAAATATCTCATGTTGTCTGCTTATCTGTAATTCTCATTAAAAAAAAAAAAAGATGGCCACCTCTCTAAAACTAACCCATTCCCTAGGGTTCAGCTCAAATGCCACTTCATCACTGAAGAATTCCCTGAATAGTTCAGCTAGATACGGTCTCCCCCTTCTCTCTGTGTATCTGCCTTTCTTGTACTTACCACAGTCTTCTTTACATAATAGTCATTTGTATTTATCTTATCTCCATCCCTCACCTGTCAGCACCATCAGATCATAAGTAAAAGCAAGTATATATACTTGGCCTTACTCATTTTTTTCCCTTCACTTCTAGCACAGTGCTATGCATGTGACAGGTCAGTCAAGGTCTCAGAAGGAGGTACTAGCACAATCCAACTGGGTAGATGAGGAGACATGAAGGGAGGGAGTGTGTGCAGCAGTAAAGGAAAGCAACAAAATATAGTGATTCTCCCTGAACCCAGCAACAGTGAGCACTCCCTGTAGGCCTTACTGGGGCAGGGAAGAGATGCTTACCAGAACTCAGAGAGGGTTCTACCTGGGCTGTCCCTGGAGCTCTTGGGAAAGTCACCTGACCGTGGTGGCTTTTGGCAGGGATGGAGCTGCCTAAAAAGTCAGTAATCCCGCCCAGAGAGGGGCTGACCTAATGCAGTGGTAAATAAACTTTTTTTCTGTAAAGAGCCAGAAAATAAACATTTTAGGCTTTATGGACCATAAGGTCTCTGTCACAATTACCCAACTCTGCCATTTGGAGCATAAAAGCAACCACAGATAATATTTGGCTGTGTATGGCTCTACAGCAATGAAACTTTATTTATAAAAACAAACTGCATGTCAGGTATGGAGTGAAGGTCATAGTTTACAGACCCCTGGCCTAGGGAATGAATAACTTTTTTTTTTTTTTTTTCTTTTTTTTTCTTTTTGTTTCTTTTTAAATTTTATTTTTGGGTATTCTTTTGTTTTGTTTTTTTCCTTAAATTTTTTCCCTCAGGACGGAGCAGATCAAAAAGGGAGCAGAAGTTCAGAGGGTTCAAAGGAGCACGCCTATCCAGCATAAAACATGCTCAGCAAATGAATATTGGAATTAGTGAATCATATGATTGGTCACTGTGAATTACTCTGAGCACGGTTGGACTCTCATATAAAAATTGCATTCCTGACTGGGGAAAGCTAGTGAAGCCCTGGACTGTGGTGACTCTACCAAGGGCCAGGAAGCCTCAGTCGGCTTCCCTCTTGCTTTACTTCGAAATCCCATGCACTTCTGACCTGCTGTCACCCCAGTGAAACATTGATCTGGCCAGAAACCCTTCCTCTATGAATTCCTAACTACTGTACAAATGCTTACAGGGTTCAAGAATTTTGCAAAATATGCACCTGAGAAACATTGTTCCTTAAAATGGGAGACTCAAAGATTTTTCATCATAGTGATAGTTACTGTAGTAACTGACAGGTCTCAGTATTTCTTCACAGTGAAAGGGGAAAATGGATGAGAAAGAAAACAAGGCTTGGATACACAAGGCAGCTCTCACAGTGAACCCCTCAGACTCATTCAATATGGGAGACCCCTTCTGGCCATATGGAGAGCTAGGTTGCCACTCCAGTAGTTGGACAGCTGATTCTAGGCCACTCATGCTGTCGCTCTCTCCTACCTTCTTCGGCTTTCTCTCTTTCCTAGTTGTTTCATACTTTGGTTTTGTTCTTCTTAGAGTTAGTGATTAGGTATTTGAGCATTAGAATGGGTCAGACCTAGACTTTACCCCTCCTTTTCCGTTCAGCAGCAAGTCTCTCTTATCTCTTTAAGTCTCTTTTTCCCCATCAGCACAGTGAGATACAGTATAGGGTTCTCAAGTAGATAAGTGACACATGTTCTTAATATATGTGAGCTATCTGGGGGGCTTACTATTTTATTCTGTTTCATCCTCTCCTCTCCCCTTCCCTTTTTTTTTGTATGCAGAAAATCCCTCTCAGTGATAAGTGAACTTTGCCATAAAGAAAAAAGAGGTGGACATTGGGAGGAAGCAGGTGGAAGGAATCGGTATGCTCCCAAGTTTATATTTTTTACTTCGATTATATTTCTTCCATGAATGGCAACTTATGCAGTATCACCTATAATCTGCTCACCCTCATAAATTATTCTATTTATTAAAAATAGAAGTTTTTTACAGACAGAAAGTACAAAGTCAAGTGGACAAAATAATAGTTTACAAATGAAAAGTTTCTAAATGACAATTATTGTTGTTGTCCAACCCCCAAACTATCTTGGGAATGAAACATACCTCCTTTATCTAATCAGGAATTTAAAAGTCTCATCAGATAAGGCAAGAGCAAGAATCATTACAGATAAAGCACAATTCCTGCAAAAGTTTCTGCATGGAGATAATGATGTCCTGGGAGATTATTTTTTCCCCATCCTTATATGAGAGAAGCATCAAAAACTAATTTCTAGTTCATCTCCTCTACTATTAGCAGTCATTAGGGAGCATTCCAGAAAAACAAAATTAAGAAAATTCCAAGCGCCTTGGCATTTCCAGGGTGAAACTTTGTTGGTTTCTAATGTTTCACAAAGTCTGCAACAGTCACTGGCATCCCCTGAGAATTATGTGTGTAAGCATACCTCTTACTGGGCATGTTGGCTGCCCATCACTGCCTGCTCAGTAACTGTTTTTATAAGTCTACCAGGACTTCTAAATTTTCAATTACACATCACTGTATTTTATGAATTGGTTAAGAATGGTATTCAGTAATAATAATAAAAGAAAATTTGGGGAATGCAAATTTTAGAATATATCTCCCTGACAAATAATGGATCTAATATATTCAAGGAAAAAAAAATCTGGTGTTTCTTCTCTCCACCTTGTTTGAATGGCAGTCTCAAAAGACAAGATGTCTTGAAGGACTGAGAAAAGGTTGGAGAAAGGAGGCAGGAAGTTTCAGGCAAAAATAAAGCACAAGAGTAATTTTTCTGGAGTATCTATAAGTACAATTGAGATGGAGACAAGTACTACAGAAGAGGCTCAATAAATATCTGATACACAGATAAACAAACAACCAACATGGAGTACATGAACCAGTTGTAATCTGTTGGGAACTGAATCTTCTAGACTGAAGTTGTCTGTTCACTTGCCAAATCCCAAACAGACAAGAATTCTGGTGCCTGAAGCACTGATATCTAGAACTACAATTCTTTCATTCTGTCTGCTTGGCTACCAGATTTTCCCAAAGACTACCTTCTCCTGGATTCTTGACCCTTACTCCACATGTCTGTCAACTCACACCTCTTCTCTTTGCTACTACTTTGTAATGCTGATTGCTCATCTAAAATACCAGCTGCTGTCTGTGCCCATATTCTCTGTATTCTGCCTTCCTAGACGCATTTTCTCCACCACCTGTAGCTGTGTGCCAATGCAAATGGCTGTACTCACCCGGTCCCTCCAAGTCCTTCCTTCTGTGGTATATCAGCCACTGCATTAGCAGAAAGAAATGGCAAACACAGGGGCCGCAACTGAGAGAGTTTAATGCAAGTATTATCTAAAGAGGTATGGTCAAGGCTAAGAGAACCAAAACTCTTGGAATATCCAGGGATTAGCA